GAGTCCCTCAATCAGCTGCTAGAGCTCAAGCAGTTGGAGCTGCAAAAGCAAAAACTGGAGAAGAAGCAAGAGGCAGCCAAGCAGGTGGAGTTGGCCAAGCTGAAGCAGAGACAGCCGAAAAGGTAAGACAATTGCGTGCAATCAAACCCGGTTAACTTCGTCGCCTTCGCAGAGCTAGCAAACGGTTACATTGCCCCAAGTTCAGGATCTGGGCCAAGCCAATATCCAAGCCCAATAAGCTGGTACAGAAGGAGGTCCACATTCAAACAGATCAACTAAGCATAATGTAGGTAACACTGATATTATCAAATAAATCATGTATGTATATATTTATATATATATATATGTTATGCAGATCTAACGGCACGCAAACGGAGCTCTTGAGGGAAATGCCATTGGTTCGCTTGGCTGAGGCAGCCACGCAAACCGACCGCGTCAAAGGACTCTCTTGGCTACGCTTAAGCAGCTGAAACTGGCGATATACTATAAATAGGCCTATACATATTTACTTACCATAGCCAGCGCCAGTTGGTAGCTGATTTTGTTGTTGTTATTAATGTTGTGATTGTTTTTGCTCGCGTTGCACTCATTGTGATTAACATACAAATTTCTTTGTTGTACTGGAGATTCAATGCTTAGAAGCGCATCGCTCGATGGCGCCAAAGTTGCGCGTTATGTTAATTTAACAGTGCACTGTTATAGTGATTTACAGCTTTACAGTTCTTTACTTTGATGCAGTTATGCACTTATGTTATCCGCACAAACGTCCGAACGCGACAATAACTTGTCAAAGACTGAATGGCCAGCGAGCAAGTGGCCAACGTTTTGGCTTCGGCTTTTGGGTTTGGGGCTTCGGTTGCTTCGGTTACTTCGGCTTTTGTTTGTTCGCTTTTTGTTGCTGCTGCTGTTGCTGTTGCTGTTGTCGGTATGCAAAAAGCCAACAAACAACAATAAGAAAGTCACGCTTAACGACTGTGACTGAGACTTAGTCCCAGGGTCTAGGCTGGACAGTGAAAAAACAACAAACAACAACCAAATAGAGAAACAAAATAAAGCACATGCAAGTGCGCTGCGGACGTTGAGCGCTGTAGAGCCGGCTGCATTTGCGGGAGTTTGGCTGGCATAGACAAAAGAATAAAGCATGGCTGCCGAAAAGGCGTCTGCTTTTGGAACGGGCGGGCGTGGTGTGAACGTGGGACAAACTCTCTGGACAACAGTCTAGCAGCCGGAGATTGAGTCCTGTTGCTACTGCAACTCATGCCATGCCACTCACTCGCTTGGTCGCTGATTGATTGTTATCTCGCACAAACACGCCCTCTATCCGCAAAAAAACAAAAACACCGCTAGCACAGTTAGCTGCGGGCCGCCCGTCGAAAATTAAATACTCTTATAAATATCTGCATACGAGGGTAGTCTAAGCAATTGACGAACTAACAAAAGTCAAATATATTTTTGAAAAATTTAATTTTTTTATTTTCGGTTTTTATAGCTAGTCAAAGTCTGCAGTGTATTCGCCAATTTTTCTCTGAGTACAGACTTTCTGAGCTGTCTACCTCGTGACAAATTTATAATACCCTTTCTATGGAAAATAAGAGAAGGGTTGCACTTTAATTGAGATTTATTTATGGCCTCGCCAAAAGCAAAGCCCTTCAGTGGAAGACAAAGGCACACAGCGCTTCATAATAATGAGCCATACACGCGCTGCGGCTCACTCGACCTGGCGATATTTGGACAACGGGACAAACAATTGAAAAGTGCAATTGTTATATACCCTGTGTACCCTTTGAATGGATGTCGATTTTATATTATTTATGTATAAAAGATAAAAACAACAATGAAAAATGTTAATAACTAAAAGCTATTTTCGCATTGAAAAATGCATTACAAGTATAACAAAAAATTTATATATTAAAGATTTATCTAATGATTCTTTGAATTTATATAAACTATGTAAATTAGTATTCTTTCGATCTCTTATATTTTGGATATGTAGATATAGCTCTAGGAGCTGCGGGTCAATCAATTAAATATTGATTCCATTTTAGAGATAAATAGAATCAATAATTAGGTATTGATTCTGAAAGTCCTTCCAGTCTATAGCAAATCATAATTATATTCTTCCGTAGACTCTAGGTGAACAATCTAGAAACGGACAACTGAAATATACCCTGTACCCCTAAGAAAATAAAATGATATGTCCTAGAGTCTATAACGCAGGGTATTCTCTAGTCGTACAACGCTCTTGCCTCAGCTTGTTATGTGGTTGTTGCTACTATTATTGTTCTGTGGTGGCAAGCTTTTCAGCTTCAGGTTTGGTTTGAAAATTGGGCGGGCAGTTCGCCCAGCTCGTTATTGTCAAATTGTTGGCCAAGTGCTCGAGCAGCTGTATGTGTGTATGTGTGCATCTGTGTATGGGTGGGTGCCGCTATGAGGCCGCCTCTGCCGCTGACATGCCAATTGTATGTCTGTCCAGCTGGCTCACTGTCGCTAGCCTGGAATGCACTACAGTTGCATTCGCACAAAAATTCAATTGAATTGAATTGGAACGGAGGCTAAGGACTTAGCCTGCGACTAAGGTTAAGTGCCATGTTGTGGCCCACTCTACGCTCTTGCTGCGCTCTCTGCAATTTCAGCAACAACCTCAGCAAATTGCTTTGGTTTGGACGCTTTTACGCTAGTTATGCTGAATTATGCATTCGCAAAATTTCAAATGGTGAACTTCAAGTCCAAGCCAAAACTTTCACTTGAACCAACAATGGCGCAGACAGCGAAAAGAAAAAAAACTATAGTGAGAACATTTTAGCCGGGCATTAATGGCAGCCCAATATCCGTTTATTGATGGACAAATTAAAATATCAAATAGATAGATAGATATCGATATCACATTATCTCTGCTCGTATGTCTTTGGTAGACAATATAAGAGTCAGTCTCTAGAGCATCAGTAACAAATTGAAATATGTGTCCATGTAGTGATAATACAACCTCTGCTTTCAATTTCCATACTCTAGCTCAAGAAGTCCGTCTATAAATAAACCGATATACTCCTTTCTGACTACCTTAACAGTGCATGGCGGAAAAATGGACAACAAAAAAACAAAATGGCGCAGACAACGCACAGCCAAAACAAAACCCCGAAAAATCTAGAAGAGGAAGCAAAAAGTTTTCATGCTTCCGGTCTTGCGCCGAATGATTGAGTCGCAGAATATACAAAAAAAAAACCCCATCCTTAGAAGATTTAGAGAGTGGAAAAATGGAAAAGTAGAAAAGTCGCATTCGAGCATTCGAGAAGGGAAGAGGAAGAAGAAGCGAAGGAGAAAGAAAAGGCTATTTTATGCATTTTCGAGTGCCCAGTTGACCAAAGACGAACGTCATGCATTGTCATTAACAACTAGCTATAAATAAGACATAAAATACACAGCCAAGAATGAGTTCTAGCCATTCTGCAAGAATGCTGGACTTGAAGATGCCCCATGCACACAGTTGTGTGTTAAAGCATGTAACTTACTCATATAGTAGATTTCCTAATATATCAAAGTTAATGTTAGGCATGCCGAACATGCTCTAGAAATAGATACCCTGTACACACACTCAAACTAGAATATGCCATCCTAGATACACTTTAAACAGTCTGTAGCACAACAAAATTACTCTACTATGTTAGGTCAATCATACCCGACGCATTTTTCACAGGGTACTTAAGCCATGCAGCCACACTCAATGGAGTACCAAGCGTTTAGTTGCAAATTTTAACAAGAGGCTGTCAATGATTAATGTCAATAAAACGCAAACTCAGCTTGGGAATGCTGCTAGAACCGACGTCTCTCTCACTGCTTCAAGTTGAAAGTAGGAAGCGCTGGCATTTGGTCAGCATTTGGGTCATGAACCTGTGCCGCCGCTGGAATCGAGGACAAAGCGCTGATCCTCAAGCGTCGTGTGGGTGCAATGGTTCAATTGGTGTCGAGAGTCAGTGAGTCTCGATAAATGGATAATGTTCGGGATGCAGTTGTTGATGATGATGATTGGCAGTAAGGCAGTGAAAAGTTGTGGGCACGCCTACACGTACCGCTCATTAGCTATGCCCCTAATGAGGCATTTAAAAGGTGCAATGCGGGCCTTGGCATTAGCCAGCATTTGGCCATGTCAGTTGACAAATGTCTTTGCTTGTCACGCGCTTAAATGTCCAGCAATGCGGCGCCTCACTTACACTTGAAATAATACTGGACCCAATGAACAATTTGTAGTGAATTATTGTTTCTTATCTAGTAAAAATTATTGTTAACAATGCTGACAAAGGAAATTAAATAAACTCAAATATAAAAATAATACTAATAAATATATGTACATTTATAACAAATAACAAATAATTTCAAATAGCTACCAGAATTTCTTACACTGTATAACCATATACATACATATGTATGTATTGTATATGCACATTAGCTAACTGCTACGTCACTTGGGCTTCGAACGCATGCATAGCCATGGTCTAGCGTGACAGCCGATTGAGTTGAAGGAAAGTCAGACTGACGCAGCGACTATGCCTTGCCATGGCTGGCTGGAAAACCCATTGGCTGAGAGAGAGGAGTGTCTGAAGTATGCGAGCTATGAGACACAAGCAAGTAGTGCATCAATTTGGCAATTGGCACACATTCCAGGCGACTGCAATTCAGTTAACGGCTATGCGATATTTAAGCCATATTTGGCGAGATTCTGTCAAATGTTTTCGAGAATGCGGCGCAATTGAGTGACGCCTGTCAATCAAGCCTGGCTGCAGTTGGAGTGTTGACGCATTGTCAAATTGCGTTTGGATATGAAAGCTATGCAATTAGCTAGAAAGAAAACTCCCAGAATATACAGTGCAGCAGACCCAGAATCTGCACACATGCAAACACTCACACACATCTTTTTAGCCACTTGCAGTGTTGCCATATTGTGATTTTGTTTCGATAGTATCGCATATCTCAACTTATTCGATAACACATCTTCGATGGTAAACAAACGCTAAGCAACACAGCTATCGACTAAACGCAAAGTGAAGTGAAAATTTGTGAAAAGACGAAAAGTTAAAGAAATTGAAGTGTACTGAAGAGGATGGCCTCGCTGGAACCAACGCAAAATAAAACATGGGATCTATCCCTATACGAGCTGCAGCGCAAGCCGCAAGAAATAATCACAGACAGCACAGAAATAGCCGTCTCTCCGCGCAGCCTACATAGCGAATTAATGTGCCCCATTTGCTTGGACATGCTCAAGAAGACGATGACCACCAAGGAGTGCTTGCATCGGTTCTGCTCGGATTGTATTGTGACCGCATTGCGATCCGGCAACAAGGAGTGCCCCACTTGCCGCAAAAAACTTGTGTCCAAACGTTCGTTGCGCGCCGATCCAAACTTTGACTTGCTCATCTCGAAAATCTATCCCAGTCGCGAGGAGTACGAAGCCTCGCAGGAGAAAATCATGGCCAAATTCAATCCGACACAATCTCAAAAGGCGCTCGTGAACTCCATCAACGAGGGCATCAAGCTGCAGTCGCAGAATCGGCCGCAACGGTTTCGTACTAACAAGGGTGGTGGGGCTGCTGCCAACAACAATGGAGGTGGGAACGCTGGCAATGCTAATCGTGGTGTGAATGCTCACGATACGGCCTCCAATGACAGCAACAGCAATACGAACGGTAACGAACGTGAGTCCCGGGATACCGGTGGAGCAACCGGAGCTGCTGCACCCGCTGCCCCAGCCGCAGCAGCTACTACAACGCCCGTCAGCAGTAGTAGCAGCAGTAGCAGCAACGCCACTAACACCGCCACCACCACCCAGGCGGGCACATCGGGCGCTAGCACCTCATCGAATCGCATGCAAGTGGATGATGCATCAAATCCTCCTTCGGTGCGCAGCACACCTTCTCCGGTACCGTCGAATTCGAGCAGCACGAAGCCGAAGCGTGCGATGTCGGTGATGACGTCGGAGCGTTCAGAGGAATCAGAATCTGACTCACAAATGGATTGTCGCACCGAGGGTGACTCAAATATCGATACCGAGGGAGAGGGCAACGGCGAACTGGGCATCAATGATGAAATCGAGCTAGTCTTCAAGCCCCATCCCACAGAAATGTCCGCTGATAATCAGCTGATCCGTGCACTCAAAGACAACTGCATAAGGTACATCAAGACAACAGCGAATGCCACTGTGGACCATCTCAGCAAGTATCTAGCGATACGCCTGACCCTCGACCTGGGCGCCGATCTACCAGAAGCCTGTCGTCTGCTCAACTTTTGCATCTACGTGGCACCCCAGCCGCAGCAGTTGGTAATCTTGAATGGTAATCAGACGCTACATCAGGTCAACGACAAATTCTGGAAGGTAAGTTCTGTAATATTCCGAAAGTGTAAACTATAAACTAATCCGAAACTCACTTCAACTTGACAGGTGAACAAACCGATGGAAATGTATTACTCATGGAAGAAGACCTAAAGCGTTACCTTACCTAGTTAAAAGCATTTTAGCTATTAAGCATTCAACACTATAAATAATATATATACTCGTATATATAATATTTCAATATATACATGTTTAGTTTTATCATCTATGTGCTTAACAAGAATATATATGTATAGAAGTACACCATCAAATTCTAGATGATGTATGTAGAAACCACAGATCAGTTTTCGTTATGCCCTGTGCTTAAAACATATCCCAAACAAGGTTCCATATTGCCTATATACAGCATATATTGAGTGTTCCATATAGTGTGCTTATTGATTCATAGGTAAGTAATTTCAGATCATTTCCTTTGATATATAGCACCTGTATGCTAGAGGAATATTGTGAAATTGGATTAGATTTGGTTGTTAGGTGCATCGGGGTAGAGCTTGGACAGAGATTAAAGGTTGCCGTATGATAAGAACAATATTCTTTTCATATATTCTTTGCGTATATTGGACGTTTGTAAATGTGTGAAAGTACATACAGAACATTGACGTAACTAAAAGTAATTGTAAGAATACATTGGTGAGGAACGCTTAAAAAGTAGATAAAATTTAACTATGCTATGACTGCTAACCGTCTCACGGATGCGTTGCTAATGAATGTGACTAATGTGCTTCGCTGGGCTCTAATTGGGGCTCCGGCTGAGGCAGAGTGTGGTTCATTTAAACATTTCAATTTGTTTACATTTAGTATTATATTCAAAAATATTAAGGCATAAGGCAGCACCTGTGCTTTGGCATTGATCAGCAATCAACGCCTATGGATTAGTCAGATATTCTCTGCATTTTTTTTAGAATTGCGCTTCGAAATTCCTTGAAGTCGCTCCTCGCTTCAATTTCGTTGAGACAATCGCCTTGAATGCGATTGAGACCACTCTTTATGTCGGAATCCTGGCCGCCGCGTGTGCGCCGCATCAAATCGCGCTCGTGGTGATTGGACAGGCCCAGATCCCGCAGCTCATCTATATGATCTAATGTAAATGTCCGTTGCTCCTCCTGTAAGAACTCAGCGCATTTCTCATAGATATCCAGGTACTCTTCCGTTTCGCCTTTGTCGCCCAATCGGTGCGTTTCCAGGTAGCGTCGAAAGAGTTTTGCAGCCTGCGGATCAAGCAGCGTTTGATGCATGCTATTTGTGAGCGTGTAAATGCGACGCACTTCCTCAACGCTCATATCCGAACAGCCGCAGAAGCATCTTATCAGCTGCACCGTTTTGCTCTACGTTTTGCAAATATTCAATTACTATTAAACTTTTGTGCGATAACGCCATATGGAAAGTACCTTGTATGATGACGAAGCCATGGTGCGTATGTGTAATAGTAATATATATCTATATAAATATATATATATTATTCTATATTATGTTGCTCCATCGACGTTCACCGACATATTGGCCGGCAATTTAAAAAATATAAGCACGGCTGCTCAATCGAACCAACACAGCATGATAGATTCTGAATTCATCTGTTCGCTGTTAAGGTAGGGATGGTATATTACCTGTGAACTATCGATAGCAATCGTTTACCCCAATACATACATATTGGTACATTGAAAATGAAAACAATCGTACTCTATTATTATTATAGTTTTTCAAGCCGACGAGAATTGAATGCGCGGTCATTGGTTCTTGAACCAGTTGGCAAATATCACAAGCTTAGAAATAAACAGCCAGTGGTAAATATTTTAAAGTCTTTATTTTAGAGCGATTTTTATAAATTTATGGAAGCTTATGATCTATAACTTGGACTTGAGCGCCTTCATTAGTTTCTCCAATTTGAGAGCCTTTTGGAAATCTCCGCTAATCTTCAGCTTACCGGACATGTACGCTGGTGCCGCCTTCAATTTGCCCGAGAACATGTCAAAGAAATTGTTCGAGTTCATGGACAGCGTTGCGTCCGGTGCACCTGGCGGGGTGCCATTACCGCAGGCACCGGAACCATTCTTCAAGTCTAGAAACCAGGTGCTCTGCTTATCGCCGCTGATGTTGAACTGGTATACAGCCTGCGTTTTGCCAACGATTTCAGGAGACAGCAGAGATTCAATTTTTTTAAAAAGCTGCGGTATTTTGTCGTCGCTAGTGTCAGCCGTAGGTGCAGCTGCAGCAGACGGCTCAGGCACTGCTGCACCTTCAGCTGGTGCACCCTTGGCTTCAACGAAAAAGTCAGCCATTAAGTTGTCTGCGTTTTCACGAACACAAGCATAGTCCGTCAGATCCTTGACTCCCACTGATTCGAGCACCTCATCGTCAATGAAGAACTGGCCGGTGAACTGTTTGGGTTCCCGGGAGAGTATGGCATAAGCCGCATCGGCCATAATCTCTGGCTTGCGCGACCAGCTGGCGCTGTCGGGACCAGTCAGCATCTCAATGGCAGCCGTATGGATGGCCGTGCGTGGCCAAAGGGCGTTCACGGCTATGCCGCGATCCTTGAACTCCGCCGCCATTCCTAGCACACACATGGACATGCCGTACTTGGCCATCGTGTAGGCAACATGGGGACCAAACCATTTTGCCTTCATGCTCAGCGGCGGCGAGATGTTTAAGATGTGAGCATGATTGCTCTTCTCCAGATAGGGCAGGCACTCTTTGGACACCAGGAATGTGCCACGCGTGTTGATGCTGTGCATCAGATCGTAGCGCTTCATTTCAGTGTCTGGTGTGTTGGTCAAAGAAATGGCACTAGCATTGTTCACAACGATATCGATGCCACCGAATTTGGCCGCAGCTTGCTGGACGGCGGTGCGCACCTGTTGCTCATCGCGCACATCCACAACACAGGGAAAGGCACGTCCGCCAGCCTTTTCGATCTCATCGGCGGCTGTGTAAATCGTGCCTGGCAGCTTGGGATGCGGCTCAGCTGTCTTGGCAGCAACCACAATGTTGGCACCATCGCGAGCCGCCTTCAGTGCGATTGCCTTGCCGATGCCCCTAGAGGCGCCAGTGATGAACAAAGTTCGTCCTGCCAATTTTCCAGTATTAATCATTGTGTGGTCCAAAGTTTAAACCGCTCACTGCAAAGACTCTGATCTATATGAACTGAAAACCGTGTAACTCTCGGCCAATCAACATATGTACAAGAGAAAGTCCAAAGTGCAATAAGATCGACGAGACGTCATATTGTAGGGAGAGTAAAGAGTCAAAACGTTCGGCAAAGGTAACTCTTGAATGCGCTTCTATGACATATATTCACTTGCATATTGCTTTTTATACTGTTTATTTATTATTTTGGGTATTAAGTAATTTAGCATTTGCTATTTAATGACATAAATTACTTAATTTTCACATATTTCGTATTAAAAATGAGAAAATAAAATTGACCAGCGTTGCCACTTTTCGTTTTGTGTGAATGGCATTCTGTGAGCAGAATACTACTGGCAAGAAGCAGAAAAGCATCAAATGTGTTTGTTTACAACAGAGAAATTTGGGTAAAATTAAATAAAAAAGAATATATATTATTAACAAATGGCTGCCGAGCGTTCGCGTCGTCACAACGCTGGCAATAAAATAGCCAAGCTGCTTGATGAAGAGGAGGATGAATTTTATAAAACCTCCTATGGCGGCTTTCAGGATGAAGAAGACGATAAGGAATATGTGTAAGTACATATGTATATCAATGTTACATGTTAAATGTTTAAATTAATGTAAATATTTGTATGCATTTCGTTGCTAAAGTCAAAAAGACGAGGAAGAGGATGTGGTGGACTCAGACTTCAGCATAGACGAACAGGATGAGCCCGTATCCGATCAAGAAGAGGCGCCAGAAAAGAAACGCAAGCGCGGAGGCGTCGTCACAAAAGCCTATAAAGCAAGTACTATTGTATAATAAAATTGCATATAATATTAATATCTCAACTAGGAACCAGCGAAGCCGCTTGCCAAGAAGGAAACTAAAGTTGGCGCTACGCTGCACAAGAAACGGGGCGCTGGCGGCGTGGTCAAACGTAGAGTGCGTCCGCGCTTTACGGTTCTGGACTCCGGACGGAAGTCGATACGCACGTCCACGGCCATTAAAACACAGGCTACAAAGATACGGCTAAAAGAACTAGACGATGCACGCAAGCGCAAGAAAAAGAAGGTGCGCGTAGAGGACTATATGCCCACGCAGGAAGAGTTGCTTGCGGAGGCAAAAGTAACAGAGGAAGAGAATATAAAATCTTTGGGTTTGTTAATAAAACAATGGTAACTGCATAGTACTCTAACTGTATTCCCAAATACTTGCAGAGAAATTCCAAAAAATGGAGCTGGAGAAAAAGAAAACACGGCCCACTAAGAGAGTTTTCGTTGGTCCAACGATACGCTATCATTCATTGACTATGCCCGTGATTCGGAATATGCCCACGCGAACAGGCCAATCGAATGAGTCTACGGGCCGCTGTGAACGCACGTTCGTAACCTTTGAAAACGATTTCAATGATAAGGCTTTCAATGCGATCTTCCGCCCGAAACGACCACCAAAGCACTCGTGCGGCATTTGTCCCATCACTCGACTGCCGGCACGATACTTCGATCCCGTCACGCAACAGCCGTACTATAGTATTCAGGCCTTTAAGATATTGCGCGAAGCCTACTACATGCAGCTGGAGCAGCAAGCCAGCAGCAGCAGCAACATCAGCGAACAGACCGAGTTAGCCAAGTGGTTGGAGTGGCGTAAGTTGGTCAAGGAGAATCGCCAAAAGGCGGCTACAGCAGCCAAAATAGTCGATAGTTAGGATTATCCCTAGATTAAGTTGTCTACAAAGCTGTCTCTCAAATTAAATCGCTTATAATTTTTGAAAGAATTCCTTGTTCGATTGCATCTCAATTGTCATAGCTCGAATCTTAAAGCCAATCATGAACAATCATCTAATAATAATAATCGGAACTTGGATCCTCGCTGCTCAGCTCAAAGAGTATTCCCTGTTCTCTCTTTCCGCTTGAAAGAAAACTTCAAATTTTTCGAACGGCTACCAAGTTAGTTTATTTAATACCTAATTCAACTACAAAAACATATAAAATCTGGGCACACAATGGAACAAGAGCTAGTCTTGAGTATATGTATCTAGAAAACTTAACAATAACTTTGTTATTACATTTGTCGACTAATTTCGTATGCATTATTTATGTTAAGGCTAACTAAGTTCAATTAAGTTACTGTATTGAGGCTGTCCCTAAAGCTCGTAGGCTCGGTCGCCGTTCTGTGATTGTTAAATGAGCGTGTCCTCGTCCTGACCTTCGAATACCATCAGCAGCGAGTGCTGCGAGGGTGAACGGCCCAGGGTCAGGCCGCCCAGCGAACCGTCCGGCGAGAGCAGACCCGTCTGGAGGCTATTATTATCCCGATAACCTGATGTCGATGATGTTTGTGAGACCGAGTCCCAGGATATTTCGCCAATGGCTTTCGTCTGTTGCTCCTGTTCCTGAGAGAGTGAGGTAACCTGTCGGATATAACGATTAGAAACGGTAAAAAGACAGATAGAGAGAGAGAGAAGGAGAAAAATCGCTTACGATGCTGGGCGGTTCCATTGGAGTGAGGCGACTGCGCTTCAGGCGGAATGTTTTGCGACTGGCCGCTTTGGAGCGTTGCAGACGCGAACGCGTATGATCGCCCGAGCTATCCTCTGCTGGACTTTCTGGTGATAGTGGCGTCGTCGAGGTCTCCCCCGAGGAGTGTCGAAACTCGACGGATGAGACAAATCGCAGCTTGGGTGGCTGCGCCTTGAAGGGCGCCTGCTGCAGTGACTGCGAGTGCGACAGTTGAGAGGCAATGCCCGGAGGCAGGGCTGAGCTGCCACTGGGCCCGCTGCCTGTGGGCTGACCCACCAGAGTGGGCGCCGAACCAGCCGCGCCCTCACCACTCTGGCTCTCGCTGGTTGTGGTATGTGGATCCCGACCGGTGGAGCTGCTGGACAGAGACTCACGTGGCGGATGCAGAGTTTGCTGCGAGAGCGTATCACTGGGCGTGCAAATGCCGCCAGATCCGCTGCGTGAATCGATGGGCACGGCGGATACGTGCGAGTGGGTCGCCTGGCCGGTGGTGGTGCCCGTGAAAATGGATATTAGCGAGGGTCGCTGCTGTGACTTGTGGGCATCTGCGGCGCTGGTCGCTGCCGCCGCATCGCTTTTCTTCTGCTCGGAGCTCTCGCGATCTGTGGAGACTGTCGAGGAAATGTATAGAGGAATGATTAGCTTCAGCCAGCAGCAGACTTACCATAGCGCTTGTCCTCTAGCTCGTCTCGCAGGTCGCGCAGCTCGCGTGCCAGCTCCAGCAGCAGGGCGCCCTTCGACTTGAGTCCACCTTGTGGCGGAGTGCCGCGTAGCCGCTCCCTAATGATGAACTGCATGTGCCGCTCGTGGTCGCCAATGGGCGGCTGAGAGATCTGAAAGACATTGATGTAAGTGAGACGCACACTGATAGCAGAGCCAGCAGCTGCTTGCTTACCTTGTGTAGGATGAAGGGCAGCAGGACAATGTAGAGGGGCGTGCGATGCGTGACCACGAATTCCATGAAGCTCCATAGATCGGGCGCTGCTTCATTGCGCCTGCCCAGATCTCGCATGACGCGCACGATGCGTGGCCACTCGTTGGACAAGCGATTCTCAAAGCAAATGCAGACGATGCGCAGTGCAAGGAACGCCGCCTGATACAGGGAGCCCGAGATGCGAGCCGGTCGTTTGGCATCTCGGCTGCCCGTAAATGTTAGGGAGCCCGCCCGTAGGTCTCCCGTAACACGGTTGATCTGTGAGACGGCTTGGCCGGTGCGGCCGGCCGGTGGACTCATGGCATTTAGCACGGCGGTTAGCAGAAATGAGACATCGCTCATTTTCAGCTCGCCCACATCGGAGACGCCGCGTCCGGAGCAGACCTTCAAGCACAGTGGCATTATCAGATGCATTAGAAATCCTTCGGCCTTTTCTTGTGTGGCGAACTCGGCGCTGCCGCCGCAAATTTGCACAAGCGAGAAACAGTCAACGGGGCTAACCACTTGCAGAGCCACCAAACGCACCACAGTCGAGCAGAAAAAGGCCGGCGGATTCTGAGACATGAGCGCTGCACCTGCACTGGACACGCCCTCCGGTATGCCACCGCTGCCCGGCTCATTCACGATCAGATTCTGAACGGTAGAGATGAGGGTCTTCATCTGCTGCCAGTGGAGCACATACGGATGCCGTATGATTGTCTCGTGTATGCCCTTGAGCAGTCCGGCTGCTGCCTCCCAGTCCGTGTTGCGGCGTATGGATGGCTTCTTCGAGATCTTGAGGAACACCTTGTCGATGCGACGCAGCACCGTGACCAGAGCATTGCGCAGCGCATCGTTCGACCATTCGGCACGAGGCAGCACCGATTGCATGTACCGCTGCAGTCCACGGCAGGCCATGGACTCGGGATCGTAGGGTGAGACCTTGAGTAGGGAGTGGGCGATGTCGGCCAGGCGTATGTGACACTTGGCATCCAGCACCTCGGTGGGCTTGCTGTCGTTCGCCGGCAGCTTCTTGGCCAGCTCGTAAAGCCGCGTTGTCGACTTGGTCAGGAAGTCGGCAACCACGGAGAGTAGGACATCCCTTGGACGTCGGTATTCAGTGCGTATCATCTCTGAGTCTTCGGCAGAGTCCATCATGTTCTTGGTGCGCGGATCTGTCGCATACTTCGTGTGAGACTCCTCCTCAAAGTCCATGCCGGGCGAGCAGGGCGGCCCGCGACTGCAGTTGCGCTGCGACGAGCCCTTGTGCTCCGGACTGTTGCGATACGGCCCATTGTAGCTCTTGGCCAAGCCCTCGCAATTGTGCACCATAGTGCGTATGGCCACAGCCAACTGGAGTATGATATCCCGCTCCGATTTGCCCTGCAGCGGAATGTAGCTGGGAGACTGGATCTGCTGTAGGTAACAGGGCAATATGGCCTCCAGTATGATCTGTTGGGCATGCATGAATTTAACGGGATTATTAAATGCGATTGTCTGATCAGGAGAGCAGCTACATCTACTAGCTACAGGGGATCTTCAGCTAGGTCAAGGGGGCTTTAATCGAGAGTGACTAACTGTAGGATGAGGATATTATCTACTTAATAGAATCTAGATATCCTTAGAGACGA